ACTTGTTATATCGTTGTCGCTATAGGTTTCACTCTGGCCCTTTTCTAAGCGGGCACGACACTCTGCATATTTATGTCCCGCCTTTCTACAGTAATTGCATTTCCCCACGATTGGAAATTTTAACTTCTTGAGGTGCGAGCCTGCTGTATCGTCTTCTACGCCGCGCTTCTTGAAGGAGTGTGCCTGAAGCTGTTGTTGTAGTTTGTTGCGTGTTTCAACGTTGGTGGTGAAAATCCAGCGCGCCAATTTGCTGTCAACCTGTGCCATGTGAGCCAATGTTACAGATACAGCTATTTCTTCAATCTCCTTGGCTTTCCATTTGGACATCAGCATCGTTACAATACGGCTACCGTATTCGGCAGAGCCTTCTTCTGGTTTTGGTCGACTATTTAACACATTCAAAACCATGCCAGCAGCAGTTTCGATTCCGACAAAACGTTGCACGAATAGCTCTTTAAATTGCACCCAAGTTATTCCGGCAAAGCATATTTGTGAAAGCCATTGTGATGCGGTGCCTTCCAATTCCTTACTTAGGGCTATCACCAGATTGCTACCTTGGAGAACGTTGTCGGCAAAGATGAGGTTCACCGTGCTACACCAAGATGAGGGCTCCGCTCCAGCAATGTCAGGGTTAAATTTTGGTAGTCTTATGTTTGACGCTTTTTCATTCGATTGCGGCGTCCTTGGAGTCTGCATGTTTTTAATTATCTCCATTAGGTTGCGGTTTTGGAGCTCCAACGCTGACAAATACGAATCAGTGGCATGACCAGTAGGCAAAGCAGATCCCACTTCTGATGTCGGGGTTTCGTTAGACTTTTCCATTTTTAATCGAATTATTAGCAGCAAGTTCTGCTCGTTTGCGCAGTCACCGACTATCTCTCTTCGAGTGCGGACGTCGTTGTCTTCCGAACTATCAGTGGCCTACGATCTAGCAACTTTTTTCAAGTGCACACCAAAAATAATTACCATGGCCCCCGGGCCACCAAATCTTGGGGATAACCGCTTTGCCAGCCTTAGCGCTAGCCCCAAAGCAAAAAAAAAAGACCATATCAAAAACTTCCCGTCGATTTCCCTGAACTTCCCTTAACCCAGCAAAAAAACCCACGATTTATAGTCGTTGCATCCAAATCCACTAAACCGCTATCCCAATTCTCTTGTTTCGCAGTCCACCGCTCTCTTAAGCTTATAAGCAAAGAAATCCCCTCTATATCAACCTTACGTGATGGTAATCTGCTTCTCCTGGTTAACTCCCGTGAAGTCGCCGATAAGTTTACCAAGGTTTCTGCTTTGCCTGGTATAACTGATGTTGAAATCAAACTTCACCAATCTCTTAATTATGTTAAAGGCACAATCTATGCCCCTTGCTTGATCAATGTTCCCGAAACAGAAATTGTCGAAGAGCTGAAGTCGCAAAATGTTCACAGCGTTTACAAATTTACGAAAATGATTGACGGCAAACCCAAACCCTTCGGCAAAATACTTGTCACATTTGACTTTTACAAGTTACCGAGCAAGCTTGACGTCTCTTGGCATACCGTAAAGGTTAGGGAATACTTTCCTAATCCAATGAGGTGCAAGTCTTGTCAACTACTGGGACACACAATGAAACACTGCAAAAACACCGCAACTTGCGTTTCTTGCAATCTCCCTCCTCATCTTCCAGTGCCCTGCACTCGCATTTTCTGCGCGAACTGTAGTGGCGATCATCCCGCCTCCTCTCCAACATGCCCAAAATATCAATACCAGAGAGAACTTCTCTGCATAAAAACAACCAAGAAATGCAGCTTCCGTGAAGCCCGTATTATTCTACAACAACAAACCAATAAGAACAACGCATCGACTACCTTCGCTTCTGTCGCCAGCTCAGAAAGCTCGTCTACTACAACTGCCCGAACCCCGAACATGATAACCACGAAAACCGACAAAAGTACCACAACTCCGAAGCCTGATAGTGAGATCAACACGATCTCTCTTACTAACATGCCAACCTCTTCTAATTCAAACTCATACAAGCCTTCTCTCTCTACTATACCCAATACTCAAAACCCGAGCTCTTTTATCCGCTCGCACTCCAATGTTATTAAAGCTCTTACTGAAGAAGCAAACAATATAATTGTACCTAAATCCCCAACTATATCTACGTCCCAAGTATCTTATCCGATTTCTGATTCTGATTCTATGGATTCACCGGATTCATAGTTCAGTTTTTTCCCTTTACATTAATCATCACCACTATAATACTAATTTTAATATTATTTTATTTTTTAAATTGAATCTATGCCAATTAAAATCTCGCAATGGAATATAAACGGAATATTTAACAACTACCACGAACTTTCTATTCTAATAAAAGAACAATCGCCCGACATTTTATGTTTACAAGAAACAAACCTGCCATTTAACTTTATAAATTTTGTCTGTCCCAAAGGCTACGTTGGTTATTTCCACAATTTACCGCAGAATATCAGTGCTAAGCAAGGTATCGGTATTCTTATTAAACAAAACCTCCCCCACAAACACCGCAACATCAACTCCAACATCCTCTGCTCTGTTTTGGAGCTCAATGTAAGCATTGACATACAGATCGTCAATGTTTACATTCCTCCTAATCAAAGCTTTTCTACATTCGACGTATCTGCTATTCTTGACACAGTTAGACAACCATACATCGTTTTAGGGGACTTTAACTCGTGGTCTCCTCTTTGGGGCTCTCCTCAATCAAACACCAGAGGCAAAAAAATCGAAAAACTAATAGCGGAACAAGATCTAATTGTCCTAAACGATGGATCTCCCACACATTTATCCACCCATAACACCCTAACCCATGTAGACCTTTCCTTGATCACCCCGCAAATAGCACATAGGTGCAGTTGGTCGACCTTGGCCAACCTTTTCGGAAGTGATCATTTCCCCATATCAATAAGTTTTTCCATAAATTTTAGTCCTGACCACACCCCTCCCCTACCTAAATATAAAATAGATTTAGCTAATTGGGATGTATATAGATCAAAGTGCGAACAGACAGCAACTAATTGGAAGACCGGTTGCTTAAGCCACCAAGTTGCCCAATTAACCAAAGGCATTAGGTCTGCAGCTAACTGCAGTATCCCTCAAACCAAACGTGTCGTGCGTAAGGCAGCAGTTCCGTGGTGGAATTATACACTTCAGAAGCTTCGAAATGAAAAGCAACATTTGTTCGCGGCTTACAAGGCCAGTATGTCAGACACCAATCTAAAAAATTATAAAAGAGCCAATGCAGTTGGCTAAACGGAAATGTCTAGAAAATTTCACCTCCAGGATATCCCCTTTTTCTTCTTCAAAAAAGTTTGGTCCGACATAAAGAGGCTGGCCGGTGTGCCACCACAACCATTTCGATTCTTGAAGTGTCATTCAGGTGTCGTGACAGATTCTCAGGGTATCGCCGAAGAGTTCGGGCATCTCTGGTCTAACTACTCGGCAGATAGTAACTTTTCAGCCGAATACATACACCAAAAAGATGCCTATTTATCCCTGACCTATCTTCCGACAACACTGACACCCCCTGCCAAAACATTAGATAAACGCTTTACTCTAGGTGAAATTGATAATGCCTTAGCAGGGTCAAAGGGTAAAACCCCTGGTGCAGACAGGATTTCCTATCCTATGCTTAGAGAAATGCCACATTCCCTCAAAATTAGACTTTTAGAAATATATAATCAAATCCTAAACTCCGGAACATACCCACACAGTTGGAGATCAGCCACTGTCATCCCAATACCCAAACCCAATAAACCTCCTGCCGAAATTAACAGCTACCGCCCCATCTCCCTCCTATCCTGTTTAGGTAAAACAATAGATAAAATTATAGCCCGCAGACTTATGTGGTTCATCACCCGCAATAACCTAATCTCACATAACCAAGTAGCTTTCAAACAAAAACATAGTACTATGGACGCCTTATTGCGTATTCAACACTTCGCGTCGAACGCCCTTTCCACAAAAAATCACGTCTCTATATTGGCGACGGATTTTGAAGGCCTTCATGACCAATAGATCCTTCAGAGTTCGCGTTAACAACAACACCTCTAACACCCACGGCCTCTATAACGGCATCCCGCAAGGCTCCCCTCTTTCAGTTGTTCTTTTTATTATTGCTTTCGAAAAACTTAATTGTATAATACGTAGATATAAGGATATTCAAGTCTCAATATATGCAGATGACGCAATTCTGTTTACCAAACTTAAATATGTAAATACTGTTAAAGATAAATTTGTAGATATATTAAGAGACATAGATTCCTGGGGAGCCATTTCGGGTGCCTCCCTAGCCATAGAAAAATGTAAAATACTTCATATTTGCCGTAAGCACAGATGCTCTCTCTCTGAAATTAACTTTAAAAACAAAATAATTGAAAATGTAAAAAGTTTAACCATTTTGGGCTTAACCTTCGATACCAAACTCCTTTTTGATCAACACTGTATTAAATTAAGAAAACAGCTCGAGACTAGATTGAATATTATAAAATTTTTGTCATTCAAATATACTAACATTCACATCAATACACTGTTAGGGATTACTCGTGCCCTGATGCTCTCTAAAATAGATTACGGCCTACCAGTTTACGGATGGTGTGCAAAATCGCACCTAAGCAAGCTGCAGGCTCCATACCACGGTGCAATTCGACGTGCTCTTAACGCGTATCCTACCTCTCCTACCGCATGCATCTTGGCTGAATCCGGTCTTCCGAGCATTCAGGCCCGCAGAGAAGAAACGACCATGCAGCTCATTCCCAAATTGCATTTAACAAAAAATGCTCTTTTAAGGAAGGATTTTTCTGCTTTGTTTAAGCAAAAACGAATATACAAAATCATATCCACCCTTAGGCGATGTGCCAACTACACAACGCAGCTTAGCCTACCACCTCCCAAACTAAAGTACACAAAGCCCCCAGCCTACTGGAACAATACAAAACCTAATGTGAACCTGGATATGTATAACGCCTCAAAAAAGAATACCACGCGATCAGAATTCCAGACCCGCTTCCGATCGTTACAAGAAAAACTTGGCTCAAAATCATGGCTCTACACCGATGGATCTAAAACAGACGAATCAACTACCTTTGCTGAGGAATGCTACCTCAGTACAACTCCATCTTTACAGCCGAAGCCTTCGCCATACTACAAGCCTGCCTCTTCGCCAAGAAACACTTTGGACAATTTGTTATCTGTACCGATAGCCTCTCCACCTTATCTTCTTTAAGGAACTGGGGGCACACCGATCCCACAATCGAGGAGATAAGAAAGCTTTCCACCACCAACAAGATAACTCTCTTATGGACCCCCAGCCACCAAGGAATCGTTGGCAATGAACTAGCAGATCAGGCTGCTCAGGACATGAGACTAAAACCGTCTCCTCTGTTCAGTCCTTTCAACAGCAAGGACATAAGTAACCTAATCCGTCATCACCTTAAGGACAAACAAATTGGAGAATGGGAACTTTATAACCACCGATATTTTTCCATCAACAATACTTTTACAAAAATTTCTCTGCCTGCCTACCTTGGAAAGCGGGTATGCTCAACTTTCATTCGCCTTCGCATCGGACACACCCGTACAACACACGAACATATTCTTACAGGAACACCACGTCCCTCTTGCCTTTGTGGCAAACGCCTTGAAATAGACCATCTTCTTAACTCATGCCGTCTTCTAGAGAGCACCAGGGCTCACGTTTTCAAACAACATAAACCATCCGACAGTTTAAATGTAGTTTCTCAAGAAAACATAACAAACCTTTATACATTTGTAATCAAATCTAACCTTAATATTTAAGTATTGTAAATAATTAACTAAGTCTCGAGTCGTAGGCCATAGCAGCTAGTACTCTTTTAAGAAACCCATTAGATTTAGTATTATATACTAGATTTAATTTTGTTAAATAAATAAATAAATAATCTGCTCGTTTGCTTGGCGCTTACTGAACTGACTTCCCAAGAGTCTGCTTTCCAAATTTATACTTTCTACTCAATTCTTTTACATTGTTAGCCATCTCTTTCTAACATGTATGTCAGCGCTTAACGAACAGACCTCACTTGGCAGCAGTCTAAATCTGTCCTGCTCTGCCATGCTTTCACTCAATTTCTAACTTCCTTTTTAATTGTCCCTGCTTCACATTAAAGAAGGCCCCGCTTCACCTGTTCTGACCAAGAGAACAAAGTAGGCCCCGTTTCATCTGATCCGACAAGTACATAAATAATATGAAATTAGAAAGTTTTTGTTTACCATTTATATGGAATATTTGCAGGACAACGACTGTTTTGCGTCCATCTATGGTACAAAAATATTTCTTTTATTACATATTATATAGGTATGTATTACTTTTTTTAATTTAAAGCAAACTTACCTTTTAAACGAATTTATCGTACATACAGGCTGAATCCTAAAAAGATTTAAATAAGTTTGTAGTAAAAGACATAATATTTTTGTAATCTTAACGACACTTACATGATTAAACGATTCCGCTGCCCGTTGCACAAATTAAGTAATTTCACAACTAATTATCAACGCACAACGCAAAGAATGAGCAGTTCAATTTTATTTTTCACCGTTTTAGTATACCCTTCTTTTTTGGGTATAACCGACCATAAATGACACGTGAGTTATTATTATATATATATTTGCAATCAATGTTGTGTTATGGGTACCTTTGTTCAATAATTTATATAATGTTGTGTATACAAAATATATAATTAATATAAGTTTATATATACATTATATTTAATATTTGAAGAACTTTAACATCAAAAGAGTGCACATAAGTCGAGCGCTCCTCAGCCGTATTTTCCATCGGTAACCAATTTTTTGTTTCTAACGGAATGACAACAGTGCAATTAGAAAAACGAAAGAATAGAAGACAAATTTTTAGTTGGGCCGTCGTCGGGTGCAAGCAACAAAATCATATTATAAGACTGAGAAAGAGAGGGAAACTTTGGAATATCCCTTTTCCTTTCCTACACATTGATTGCTTGAATGCCACGAGACACCAGGTGACAGCCAGAATTGCAGGGAAGATAAAAACCAACGACTAAAAGAAACAATGTGTAACAAAATTATAAAAGATATGTGTTGTTGATAGGCATAACATTTTTAGAAATGCATTTCTGATTTCACGCATCGACGAAACCATCTATGTACATCATGCCACCATCGAAATCATCGCATTTTATGCGTATAAAATATGTACAAGCCATCGATAGATTATATTTATTTGATGATATTTCAAACTTATTGGTTCGCTTTACAGATAAAGAAAGTTAACTTGTAGTTCATAAAGTCAAGAAAAGTCCGAAAAGTCAAGAAAAGTCCGAAAAGTCAAACTTTTTGACTCTGCTACGCCACTGTTCTATTTTTTTGTGTTTTTCTTAGCTGGACTTGTGCATGGACTCTGCCGACGTTGATTTTTAAGGAAGGTTCTCACCTTGTGGCAAAAAAAAATTGATTTTTTTTTTTGGCTTATCGTATAGATCAGTGGTTCCCAAACTCTTTTCTTTCATAGACCACTTTTAAAACTTTGCTAAATCAATTCTCACAAATTATAATTAAACAAACATCAAAACGAAGATGTAGGTATTTCATTGTGTTGCAGGTATATATTCAAATATTGAAATTATCACAATATTAATTATTATTGTTCTAATAGTCGTAACGTAATAAAAATTAAACACTTATAACGTAATGTAACTTCTACAATGGTAACTACGAAAAATATATAATTTTAATGAGATGGGTGTACTTGATGTTTTGTTAGCAAATTATCAATATCTGGCTTGAGTTTTTTAAGTAATAACCGCAAATCTCCCCGTTTTGTGATATTCAATCTGCTCCTTTTTTTTTGTTGATAATTTTCTAACGCCACTAAAACTTTTTTTGACGAGGGAAACGCTATAAGAAGCTTTTGCGCTATTGTCCACAGTTTTAGTTAGGTATTTTTGCCTGCAGCCAAAATTTTTGAAACCTTTTTTTAAATGTTACTTTCAGCTCCTCATTAGTGCTTGGCTCGAGTAGCTCCTGTTGTAATATCACATTCTCCACTTCTGTTTCACTGTTGTGCTGAATATGGAATATTTTTATACATGTTTTTGCAAGTAGCAGTCGCTGAGCTTCTTAAAACATTATCTGCCGATATTGATAGAAGAAGTCAAGCCAACATTTTAGTTCTTCACTATCGAAACTGAATTAAATTTCATGCACCCCCGTTCACAAAGTGTAGACCCCCATTTTTTGTCACGCCGAACGTAGACCCCCGTCGAGTCACCCGGGAACCCCTTGTGGTCCACCTGGACCACTTTGGGAATCAATGGTATAGATATATGTTCCGAAAATGTTCTCAAAAAATTTCAAATCCAAATTTAAAATATTACAAAAGTTACAGGCCCTTACATGGAGCACATGTCGAGCACCGGCTATTGGAAGCCAAAACTTTAAGCGCGTTTATCTCGGAACCACGTTTTCGGACCTTACGGAAGTAATTGAAGGCGTTGAGGTTAACCAATCGTCATCAAATTCTTTTTTAAATGTTCCTAATTGTTTCCTTTAACTAATGAACTAGGATTATCCAAAAATATTGAAAACTGTTTAATTGAGAAAATAATTAGTGAGAAAAAAAGCGCGAAAATCGAAATTTTATTTTCAAAAGCTAATAACTTTTGCAATTTTCATTATTTTTTTCTGATCCTAGTTCATTTTATGCACAGTACTGTACATTTTAAGAATCTTTTTGGTTTTTGTGTTTCCGATTACCCGTTTTGGCTAAATCACTTCCGTAAGCGGGACACCTTTTTGCCGAAATGTTGCAACTGAGGAACGCCCCCTCCCACCCCTTTTTTTATTTTTCAATTTTGAAATTTTTTTCGCAAAATAAATATGTTTTCAAATAATGTTACAAATTTCAGATTTTTATCTATAACCGTTTTCTCAAATCAATTTTTTTTTAAAATGTCCATTTTTCGGCCCTACAAGGTGAGAACCTGCCTTAAACGATCGGCTGAACACCCTATCATGTCAAGTTTGCGTATCAATAGGAAGTGATTTACGGAGCCAAATGCTTAACTGAAATCTGTGTAAATGACATCAGTTTTCAAAGCCATTAATCATAAAGGATGTGAGCCCTAAACAAATCGTCGTAGTAGACCTGCACTTCATACATCCGTATTGGCATGGAGATATGACTGATCCAGGTGCTGCAAGTAAGGTGTTATTGCTCGTTCAAAAAGGTTTGCAACTGCTGCATCCAAGCCATAGATTTCGGTTTTTTAAGGATTTCAAACATCGAATTTACCATTCGAAAGCAGCTAGGAGCAACCATTTAATGTCCAATTACTGGTAACTCCATGGCTTGATTGGTCCCGATACAGACTTATACACTTAAATCCCTCTGCTTAGTGCGTCTTCCGGGTATAACGACGAAAAATCGTCGGTCCCTTGAAAGTCGCTATAAGCGGATTCTACTGTATGTATATTCTTGAACAGCATCACGGTCAGAATCGAAATACGTCTGTCTGTCTGTCCTCCTGTCTGTTCCTACGCAAACTACTCTCTCCGTTGTACAGCTATCTCGCTGAAACTTCCCCAAAAGTATTGAAATTAGTGAGAAAAAAGCGCGATTTCTTGATTTCTTTCAGATGGCGTTTTCGAACTACAGTAGAAACCGGTTATAGCGACTTTCAAGGGACCGGCTGTTTTTCGACGTTATACCCGGAAGACGCACTAAGCAAAAGGAGCAACAAAAAGAATTTTTTTGATTATTTTATGGTTGCTGTGTTTGTAATAGGTTTTTAAAATAAATCTAATTAATTTTTTAATTAAATCGAAAAATTAAAAAAATTAAATTCAAAAACATAGGGGAGACCGGGGGGTTGTGAGACGGGTTTTGTTTTTTGACAAAAAATATAATAGAGAAGCCATTTTTCTGCCCGTACAAATTTTTAAATCATGATTCATTGTAATTTCACTCAGACAAGAGTATAATTAGTTGAAATTTTAGTTCGACCTTCAAGTTTTGCCTGCCTGCTCAAAAGTTGTTTTTTATGGATTTTCGCAACCCCCGAGGTTGTGAGACACAAATTTATAAGAATAAAAATGGCTTAATTTTATCAAAATTGTTTATTTTAATCTTTAATAAGGCATATTTTGTGGTCTACAATTTATTAAAATTGAAAAGATTTCGGCTTTTTCTCGATAGCAACCTCTTTTATAGCAGCCACAAAAACATTGACATCAATCGCATATTTGGCAGTCTGACTATACTTATGACGCACCATGATGACTAAAGAAAGAAAAAACGATCATCAAAAACACTGAATCCATCAAAAATATCAAAATTATCATTAATCACTATATCAGGCTATAAAATACAATTTTATGTTCCTAGATGACGCGGTAATAGAATGTCTCATAACCCCCCGAGAACGTTGTCTCACGACCCCCCAATAGCTATATTTTAAATATGGCTACTGCTTTACGGACGCATTAAATGTTTATGCAAAATTTGTTCCGTGTGTCAAAAGGCTACTCACCAAGGAATGTTTCGGATGTATGCACTCTCGCAAATGGCTTGTAAAACAAAGCGAAAAGACAGCAAACACGAACGGTCTACAAAACTTTCGATCACAAAATTCTAGTTGCGATTTGGGAAGACATAAAGAATCGGCATAAGCGGAATATTTGTGATGTGGATATGAAGATTGGAAACAAACAAGAAGTTTCGCAGTCAGCTGGTAGATGTCGCGCTTTTTAGTTCAGGGCTGTAAGCGCGTCTCACGACCCCCCGGTCTCCTCTCTCTCTCTCTCTCTCTCTCTCTCTCTCTCTCGCAGCAACGTTGTTAAGGCGACACCTAAAACTAACAAAGAGTAGTGACAGTGTAAGATCCTTTGTGGCGCTGCTACGCACACAAGCAAGGGTGCCGATCACTAATAAACACATACATTTCTCACAGCGTGTTTTGATGCCTAAATTTGGCACTATTGCAATGTATTTTTTTTCTGCACGACGTCATATCCGGTTAAATTTTCC